AATGGGTATAATAGTATGTCAAGTCGATGAACATAAAAATTAAGTCAATGGTTTAAATAAGTCGACAAAGTAAAAAGCCAATCAACCAAAATATAAATAGATGGTTTAAAATAAATCGATGGAAAAAAAAATTAAGTCGACGAATTACAAAAATAATTCAGTGATTTAAATAAATCGATAATTTAAAATGTCAATCAAATGAAATATAAGTCAACAGTTTAAAATAAGCTGACGAAACTGAAAATTAAGTCGACAAAACAAAAAATTAAGTCAATGGTTAAATAAGTCGACAATGTAAAAAATCAATCAAACGATAATATAAGTCAACAGTTTAAAATAAGTCGATAAAACTGAATATTAAATTGACAAAAATAAAAAAATAAGTCAATGGTTAAACAAGTCGACAAAGTAAAAAATCAATCAAACAAAATATAAGTCAACAGTTTAAAATAAGTCGACGAAATTGAATATTAAGTCGACGAATATAAAAAAAAATAAAGCAATTGTATAAATAAATTAACAAAGTAAAAAATCAACGAACAAAAAATATAAGTCGACTGTGTAAAATAAGTCAATCTTTATTTTTTTATTTTAATAAATAATTTAGGTTTTAGATATTAATTTACTAACAAAATATTTTTAAAATTTAAAAGTAAATACAAAACTAAATTTCAAATTTAAATTTAATAATTTTAAATTATTCTTAAGTTATTTATCATGTTAAATATGTATAAAGGTATTTACGTACTTTTACGTAGTAAAAAGATATATTTTTTCAACTTTACAAAATTAAGTATACTTTTCAAATTTCAATTAAAATTTAGTGCATTTCTCAAAATCCCCATTGGAATTGAATGTCTCCATCTCAATGAAACTTGCTCTATGATAACCTCCTTAGCCAGAGAAGAACCTTTATGAAAGAACCCATCATCTCACAATACAGACGAGAAACCTTTATAGAAAATTTTCCATATCAAATCGCAACTTGATTAATTAATTAACAATAATCATGTTCTTTGCCTATCTAACATAAGACCACCCACATTGGAGATTTGTGTGGATGCCTTTCCCTTTTAAAAATAATAAAAGTTATAAAAGAGAGGTGAACAGGATAGAGACAGGGTCTTTGGCGAGACAGATTTTTTAGATAAAGACATGGCACGTGGCAACATTGTATTAGTGTAAAAAAATTTTGATATGAATATTATTTTTTCTTTGATTCATTTTGCGAAAATTTTTCTCCTTTTCTCTCTTTTCCTCTCCTTTCGCATGCAGAGAGAAATCGAAATCTCTATCTCTTCAAATCAGATTTCGCATCCAAAGAAATCAAAATCTCTGTCTCTCTTCCAATCCAATTTCGAATATGTTGAATCCCTCTCCTTTCACATGCAGAGAGAAATCAAAATCTATCTCTCTCTTCAAATCGGATTTCACATCCAAAGAAATCGAAATCTCTGTCTCTCTTCCAATCCAATTTCGAATCCGTTGAATCCCTCTCTCTTCGAATCTCTCTCTGTTCGCATCAGATGTATCGATTTGGCATCCGACGAATCGATTTTGATCAATTGGGAGATGAAACATTGTACAAGCTCAACTCAATCTGTCGCATCACCTCCTACCTCCACGCTACAGCGTAAATCAGCAACTCTATGCTTCAGTTTGGCATAATTTCCAATTGCTACTTAGTTTGTTTTATGTGTTTCGAAATTGTTTTAATTGGAAAGCTTTATTTGCCCAGATTTGAAGAAGATTGCAGATTTGATCGATACTAGATCGTCTACCAATGGAGTCCGCCGTATAGCTCTGGCTGTTCGTCTGACCGTGGGACTAGGACGGAAGCTCACCGGTTCTGTCATCTATGATTTCCTTGATTTGGCTTTGGTTCCTGGATATGAGGCTCCTACTCGTCTTTTTTCTTTTGTTAAGGTATGTATCGCC